AGTTGTGGGTCGTTCTAGTTGTGGCATGTGGGACGCCACCTCAAGGTGACCTGACGAGCAGTGCCATGTCTGCGCCCAGGATCCGAACCCTGGGCCGCCGCAGCGGAGCGCGGGAACCTAACCACTCAGCCACGGGGCCGGCCCCAGGTGATTTTTTTAAGATACTTTTAACACTACCTTCAGACCTGGTACCAAGTTACCTGTTTTGATAAATGTCCTTATTTTATTTTATTTTTGCCTTATTGCTGAGACTTAGGGCTGAACTTGCAAAACGGAGAGCAAGGACAATGTTGCCTTTCTCACAGTTCTGTACAGCACCCCCTGAATTTATATCCGACACTTGGTACACACTCAGTGAATAATTGTTAAATGAATGAATGAAAACTCAGGATAAGTATGTATTCTAGAGATCATCACTCCATTTACAGAGGCAGAAACGTGTACCAATATTTGCTCGACTTTCCTAAAATCACAGACTTGGAACTCCAATTCAGTGTTAATTCTATAGCAATACATCGTGTTTCATAGACTCTTACTGCCTATTTTGTGAAGAAGCCAGCCTCTTAAATTAGCTAAGAATTAATTGCACATGTTTTTTAATATCTAAAACATCTTGACACTTTTTTCAGTCATTGAATTTTCTCACTTGATTTATGCTGAGAGAAAATATCCAGGGAATAAAAACTAATATATCCTTTGGCACACTTACAGGATAATTCAATTAATAATTTCATAGATCCAGTCCTACTGTACGTTCACCCATATGCAGAATCAGCTATGGCAATTAACTGGAATCAGTCCCTGTGCTGTGGGAATTCTGATGGCTACATGGAATACTAAATTAGACGTGTGCTTATTGCCAATTAACTATAACACTGGGTGTGCATTTTTTGTACTAAATTTGAACAACCAACGTATGCATAAATCTCAGCTATTTTATGACCCTGGAGTTATAAAAGTCACTTACATAAGATATCCCTACGTGAGACTTGTTGACACACACTGGATTTCTAATTTGACTGCTATTAATAATAGAAATATTACTGATCATAAGAGAAGTTTGATTATAAGTAAGGTGAATTATTTCTCTTTCTACTATTATTCTTCTTTCCTTTTCCTAATATTTTCCCTCTTAAATTATATATACAAATACAAATAAAGGTATTGTACCAGCCATGGCTATTTTGTCAGCTCTTCCCCCCCCCCCCCCCCCCAGGAAGATCAGCCCTGAGCTAACTGCAGCCAAACCTCCTCTTTTTGCTGAGGAAGACTGGCCCTGATCTAACATCTGTGCCCATCTTCCTCTACTTTATATGTGGGACACCTACCACAGCATGGCATGCCAAGCAGTGCCATGTCTGCACCCGGGATCCAAACCGGTGAACCCCGGGCCGCCAAGAAGCAGAACGTGCGATCTCAACCGCTGCACCACCAGGCTGGCCTCTATTTTGTTCTCTTTTGTTGCTTTATATAACTGAATTTCCATGAATAGCTATAGTGTTTTTAAAGATGATATTATTATTATGAATAATTTCACATAGAAATTTAGGAAACAAAATTTAAATGAATCTCTTTCATACAAATCTCTGAGTTATCAAAAGAAGAATGATTGGGCAGAAAGATAAAGAGGGTTAAAACTGTTTGATAAATAACAATAATGTTATTTTCTTCAGAACCTGATTTTACAGTAGCACATTCTCTCTCTTATGCAATTTGTGCTTATTGATGTCAAACAACTTTAGTTTATCACTACTATTAATATTGAAAAGAAATTTCTGTCAAGTAATATAGTAAATCTTTTGTCCAGTGATTTAAATTTGATGATCAAGATTATTCATTTTATACAGGTAAAAATAGTTCCACATATTTGATTCATTTCTTAAATCTCACTGGTATATCAAACTCTGATGACTAAAAAAAATCAAAAGCAAACATACATTTTTATTATATCTTAAAGCGCATAGTTGTGCATTCTAGAATGTTGCTTACTATATGCATAATGGAATGTCTGGGTCACAGCAGTGGAAAAGAAACAACAAAAACTCTTAATATTATTGCTTGTATAGTAATAACAATAATAATAATAATGGCATGAGAAATAGTAATGATGATGATAATAGCTAAGGTGGTGCTTATGACCTGTCAGTCAGTGTTCTAAACATGTTAAGTAACATATTTAATTACAATTACACTACATTATCTATTATTACTATCATCATTTTACCTTTATATTTACTGCCTTTTAATTAAAAGGTTAAAATGTAGGGAATTATGTAAACTTTTTGTACCTCCCTTTAAATCTCTCGAATGAAAATTGGTAAAAACTTGTCACATACCTATAAGTTTCAAATTACCACGGTATTATTTAGTTAGCCTTAGATCACAATTTCTTTCTGTTTAACTACTGCTTATGTTGACCTGTATTCTATATTTTCAATGTGTATTTGATCAGAACACTTTATTACTTAAAAAGTTGATAAACAATCATCAAAATTTAATTCATTTTATTAATAGAGCAAAATAATTTGAGCCAGATGCAATAAAAGAAGCAATTCAAGTTATGATCAGAAATGAATCATGTGCATTACATTTTCAGAGCATTGCATCACAGAAAACAAAAGCAAAAATGTACAGCTTCTCCTAAGATAATAGTTTATTGACATGGATCCCCCCTTTTAGATAGCTTTTTTTTCTTGAGCTAAAAAATGTGTGCTCTTTATTTCTGTTACTTTAGGTGAATACACTGCCCACCATTTTTAAACACCAATAAATATTAATTACTGAATGAATATGGCAAAAAACATAAAGCAGCTGGTACTACTAAACTATTATGTACAACACCTGTATTACAAATAATCAATAGTTTTACAATAATATTAATAAATTTAAAAATCAGATAAAGTAAATTAAAAATATATAGAAGCAAGAACATCATTGTAAACCATAGTCTGAATGGAAAACACCGTATACAACAAAGACTTAATCAAGGAAGTATTTCTTTTTTTTTTTTTACCCTTTATGTTTATTTAAAAGTGTCTTACTGTCAACTTGATTAAATAAGTGATCACATAGTTTCTCAGTCACCTACCGTTCCAATTCAGTCAAGTGAACAAATCTGCGAAAGTACCGTAGATTTTCCCTTCCAAAATAAAACTCTAAATTTAGAAAAAAACACAGATTTCAGGATATCTATTATATGCAAAAATATCTTTGCGATTTCCAGAGAGTTTTTGGAAAATCACAAATATGTGTTTCTTTTTTTTTTCTCACTTCAGAGAAAGAGAGATGTTAAAAATAATTAGGTTTGTCTCTGTGGATATTACATTTTAGTGGAAAATTTCTTCTCATTCTAGGATCGAACACTTAATTGTGCAAAATCAAAATATTTTAAATAAAATTTTACAGTAAATGTGTAAATATTAAAATGAAATTATCTTGGTATATTAGGTTATAATCTGGAAATTTTACATATCCAGTTCTTATTATTGTTTAAAGATCAAAAATAAAGGCCTTTTAAAAATAATTAAAATAATAATCATAATGGGAAATGCTGCTCAGGGCAAGAATAATGTTTAAATCAATTGTTTTAGCATTGATGACTTAAGAGTACTGGGAACGAAAATTAATCACCTTATGAAGTCTGATAAAACCACAGAAAAAAAATAAAAGTATCAAAAAATAGAATATCTTTTATAGGTAGTGGGCTGACTAGTTTGATAATTGCTCCTATAATCTTAGAAGACTTTTTAGGAGGCCCAAGAAAAATCAAAGATTTCCTAAACAAACAGGAGTATCCTTGAATTACTTATATCTAACAAGTAATACTTGAAATTCTGCAACATATAAAGTATTTTGAGATACCAGGAATGCTAAAAACAGTTATTTAAGGAGGCAAATTGCTTCTATCAAACTTTCATCTTCATCACAGGGGCAGAAACATTTTCTCTTGTTAGCAATACCGGAAGAGAAATAACATTTTACTCTGAATGACCCTATAATATGAACAAAGGGGATCTGTGCAAATAAATATAGTAAGTCAAATGAGTTATATAGGTTTTAAAATAGTATAGATACAGAATCAATATTATCTGGTTCTGGGGCCGGCCCAGTGGCCTAGTGGTTAGGTTCTCCTGCTATGCTTCAGCAGCCCAGGGTATGTGTGTTCAGATCCTGGGTGTGGACTTACAAACTACTCATCAAGCCATGCTGAGGTGGTGGCCCACATAGAAAATAGAGGAAGATTGGCACAAATGTTAGCTCAGTGATGATCTTCCTCAAGCAAAAAGAGGAAGACTGGTAACAGATGTTAGCTCAGGGCCAATCTTCCTCACCAAAAAAAAATTATCTGGTTCTTAGGTTCCACTTCTTTAAAATAATGTGATGATATCACATTTCTAGAAGGATCTTTTTCTATTATTACTCATTTGTATAGTCAATATGACACGTATTTAATTATAAATGCATTCCATTATATGTTATTTTATGATACTTTCTAAGCTGTTCCATTTAAGTAGGTTCCAGCTTCCTAAACATATTGCAATATTTGCATGGCCCTTAAATCATTTTGCACCTTTGAAAAGCACTGATAGTACACTATTCCTGATGTTATACAATAAAATTTATCAAACTGAATAATTATTATGAAGGTTCTTGTATGATGATAACAGAAATAACATCTACTTCTTTAATGTCTATTAAACAACTGATTGAAATTATGTTGGTTTTTCTTATTCAATATGTGATGATTTACACAGCAAGTCTGAAGCAACTGAGAGAAAAATGTAAATATACATATTTTCACAAACCCAAACATTATTTTAAAATTAATTATTTGAAATTTCACTCACAGGCATATATTTTTGTTTTTGTTTTGTTTTTTTGGTGAGGAAGATTGGCTCTGAGCTAACATTTGTGCCACTCTTCCTCTATTTTGTACCTAGGACATCACCACCACATGGCTTGATGAGCGGAGTGTAGGTCCGCACCTGGGATCTGAATCTGCAAAACCCGGGCCATGGAAGCGGAGTATGCGAACTTGACCACTGCAGCACTGGGCTGGCCATAGGCATGTACTTTGGAAATGGCTTATTTTATTCAGCAAATATTCACACCCAAAGCTCTCCCAATAGAAGAGGGGTGCATTGCCCTACTGGATTGATGGTAGGCTTTTAACCACATGTCTTTTGGAATGTGACATGAGTAAACACTTGAAACTTGCTCTCATTATTGGGCTTGTTCTCTCGGGCTTCTGCCATCACTATGAGATAGCTTTCTCCCTGTAGTTGCTGCCTCTTCAACCTGATTACAAGCGTTGCTGGACCCACAGCCTGGATGAAGCTTTGCTGCTTGAAGCAGAGCTCCCTATTCAAGGTCGGCCTGGGTCAGCCAATGCCAGTGGAGTACACGAATTATTATTGTATGCTGCTGAGTTCAGGGGTGTTTATTATATATAATTATTGTTTCCTTAACCGATGATGTATCTCACCGCACAGCTTTATTTTTTTCTCCTTAGACCTTTTCACTGTTTCCATGTTATATGTTTTGCTACTTTGCTTGTTTATTATTGATTCTCATGGCTAGAATGTAAGGTGCACACAGTCAGGTGTTTTGCTTGCTTTATTCATTTCTGTATACTCGACACCTGGAAAAGTGCTTGGTGTGTCGCACATGCCTGATAAATATTGTTGAATGAAAATAACGTAATTAAGATCCTCACTTCTCTGTGCCTAACTTCATAAAATAATGAGTTTAGATTCATCTCTTCCTCTTTACAAATCAAGAAACTGAAGCATGGATAATTTAAATGACTTGATCAATGTCCTAGGATTAGATCCAGCAGATTCATTAAAATCTATGGATAGCTGCTGATACTATAACATTTAAATATTATTTTAGTAAAGCCCAATATATTAGAAAACTGCTATCTAGTTTAAATCATCACAAACTGTGAGCTGGCTTAAGTCAGTGGCTAGGTATTAACAATACATAGATAATATTAGGAATAACTTGTCCTTGACTCTCCTCCACTGAAATTAAGTAATAGAATTCAGAGGATTTAAAGATTTAGGGCCACAGAGTTCTGGCTAATTGGATTCATTGTTGGATTAGTCTTTTTCAAGAATTAAGTATCTTAACTTTTGGTGGCCATGTTATTCAGGACTAAGGTGTAAGGTAGTAAACCCAACAAGGTAAATCTACTGGTACCATATCCTAGGGAGGAGGAAGGAGGTGGAAGAATTCACTTCATATTATTATGAAGTGAATGTGTCCCCCACAATTCATATGTGGCAATCCTACTCCCCACTATGATGGTATTAGGAGGTGTGGCCTTTGGAAAGTGATTAAGATTAGATGAGGTCATAAGGGTGGAACTCTCATGAATAGGACTGGTGCCTTTATAAGAGTCAGGATGGAGCTCTGTTGCTCTGCTATGTTTTCCATCACATGAGGACAGGAATAGAGGATGGCCGTGTGGAACCAGAAGAGGCTCTCACCAGAACCCAAGGGTGCAGGCTCTCTGATCTCAGACTTCTAGCCTCGAAAACTGTGAGAAATAAATTTCGGTTGTTTATAAGCCACTCAGTCTGTGGTGCTTGGTTATAGCAGCCCAAATAGACTAAGAGGCAGTAAGCAGTCTGTCATAACGTCTTAGAGTATTTTTCAGTATCTCCAAGATGACAAAACTCAGTGAAGTCAGTGGAAGTCAGTCACATTTGGGATGATGCGATCAGAGCGGGCAGCCTCACCCTTTGAAATTCTGCACTGCTTCCTTCTGTGAGGTGGTCTTCTCTATCAAATCCAGAAAGCTTGCTACAATAGACTGAGTGTTTGTGCCCACCTCAAATTCATATGTCCAAGCCCTAATCCTCAATGTGATGGTATTTGGAGGTGGCGCCTCTGGGAGGTGATTAGTTCTAGGTGAAGTCATAGGGTGGGATCCCCATGATGGGATTAATGCCCTTAAAAGAAAGGAAGAGACAGGTGTTGTGTCTCTTTCTGTGTGCAGGTACCAAGGAAAGGCCACAAGAACACATAACCAGCAAAAGTGCCCTCACCAAGAACTTGACCATGCTGGCATCCTGACCTTGGACTTCCAGCTTCCAGAACCATGGGAAATAAATGCCTGGGTCTAAGCCACCCAGTTTATGGGTTATAGCAGCCCTAACTAAGACACTGTGCTAGTAAGAACTGAGATACGTTGGGGCAAGGTCTGCATTCCAGAGGAAGGGCAGAAAACTCTGCAAATTGGAGGTAAGGTTCAACATTTCTGGTCAGTAAAATTGAGTAGGTGCCAAGAGGCAGGGATAAATCCAAGAGTTACACAAAATGACTTTTTAATTATATGTGATATTTGTTCATTTCTAAGGTTTATCCTCTCAAGGGCTGGATTTTTCCTAATATTCTCTAACAACATGTCATCATCATAATCTTTGAAGTACATTTTAACAACAAGATTTGATCTGAATCAACTATCTCTCAGAGATAAAAAAAAAGTGATAAACTAGAAGAAGTGATAATATCTGTGCATGTGCCGAATATGATATTTCAAATTTTCCCAGGGGGTTCAAGTAACTTTGGCTTAAAAAAATACAGCTGAGCAGTAAAATATGTTTCACTTTTCTTTTGTAATGTTCCGTTCTTCTTATCTTCTGGATTTAAAGATAAGGTTCGTATTTCTCTCAGATGCTGTCCTTGAAATTATCCTACTGGATATAAAACTGAAATAGTTGGTGGCACTAGAACAAATTTATTTCCGCAAATGAGCCATGTTCTTTAAAAGTTTGAATAGCTTAAATGTATTCTGGTGAGTGCTAAAGTCAGGGTCATAAGACAAGATTTTAATCACAGATATAAAATGTGTGTCTGCTATGACCAAGCAGTTTTTCTAATATGTAAGTGTTCATTGAGATAATTTTCTTTAAATGTTAAGTTTATGTTCAAATCTTATCTACCTCATTCTGTACATGCAGCTGATCATGCTTCTAGAATTACTACCCTGAGGGACTGTAAAACTTGAGGAAAAAATTATGCAATAAGGCAAAAATTTAATTCTATGGAATGTATATAAATATGGAAGTAATATTAATCTGTCTTATAAAATTAATTAATACCCCTTCATCCTTAAAATGTTTCCAACACTGTTAAAACTTTTTATACCACAGGAGAAAACGTATTTAAATATTGCTATTATGTCTAACAAGAAATAAAAGCAGGTGCAGACAGCTCAATGAGAAAAAAATGTAAATGAAAAATTCAATATTTCTTAACATGCATTGTTACCATGTAACTGTTAAATTAAATTAATCACATAAAATAATTAAGTCTAATTAATAGGTAATATGTAATGAATACCTAGTCACAAAACTTAATGATATTCTAATTGTAATCAAACGTGCTATGTAATCGGTGCTTATTGCATTACACCACATATCACACGCCTGTTATCTCTTTTGTTTTATAAATTGGAACTTTAGTTCAACTCGTGCTTCTTAGTAAGGGTAATGCCGTTGAAGTGTTGAAAATGAACTGGCAGCATGCCAAGGAATCTGCTTAGGCTAAAACACAAAAGAGGTTTTGAACAAAAAAAAAGGCTTAATCTCCTAAACTTAGTGCTATTAGAGTAACTTCGGTTGGTGTCAAATTATAAGTGGCTTTATTCTTTTTCACTAATTCTTAGCAATATTATACTGTAGGTGCTTGAATAGGCAGTAAAGACTGTTCTGGGGACCGACTTCATGGCCTAGTGGTTAAGTTTGTGCGCTCCGCTGTGGCGGCCCAGGGTTCAGATCCTGGGTGCGGACATGGCACTGCTCGTCAGGCCACGTTGAGGCAGCATCCCACATCCCACAACTAGAAGGACCTGCAACTAGGATATACAACCGTGTAAGGGGGGATTTGGGGAGATAAAAGCAGAAAATAAATAAATAAATAAAAGATTGGCAACAGATGTTAGCCCAGGTGCGAATCTTTGGGAAAAAAAAAAAAAGACTGTTCTGGTAGGTTTTCTGTGACATTATGTAACATCTCTGTAATTTTCATAGTTCCTACAGTTTTTTTTGTTGTTTTGTTTTTGTTGCATTTAAGTTTTTTTTTGTTTGGTGTTTTGTGAGGAAGATTGGCCCTGAGCTAACATCTATGCCAATCTTCCTCTATTTTATGTGGGATGCCACCATGGCATGGCTTTGATGAGCAATGCTAGGTCCACACTTGGGATCGAAACTGTGAAGCCCTGGCTGCCAAAGCAGAGAGTGTGAACCTAACCACTACATCACCAGGCTGGCCCCTTTCTACACTGTTTTGATTCAAAGATGCAGAATAGAACTATCCTTACCATCTAACAAATATTTATTTACAATAATAACTTTTCATGGCATTGCATGTAAGGTACTGCAATGTTCATTGCTATTATAAATTCATTGGATACCAAAATATAAGTTTATTAGATAGCTTCAGTACTTTTCATGGTTTCTAGGTTGCAATATCCAACCAAAATTTCTACTATTCTTCTTCTGAGAAGAATATAAGATTTACTAGAAATAGTAGAATTGTAGATGTATAGAAAATATTCCAATTTTCATAATACAATTACACTAATTTATAAGGAAGATGACTGAAAGAGAAGAGCAGGCTAAATTTTAAATTATGACCATGGCTACATATTCCAAATGATTATTTAACCCCATACTCCCAAATAATACTAATTGTAGACAAATAACATCACGGCATTTTCTAAATTGTTACCACATGAATAAAATCTGACTTTAGCAATTAATGAGATAAAGATGACTAATTATGTTACTTTTTACTTAAGTATAAATTCATTTTTCACTAACATATTTATATAACTTACCATAAGTGAATTTTCTCCATCATTATATTAATCTTTAAACATTTTAATGAAATTCTCATATGTATAACAGAGAAGGTGCATAGATGGGCAAATTTGTATCATGCCAAAGCTAAAATTTATTCTTAAATGTAGTATAACATTGGGAAAGTGAACTAGGATCCCAATATATTGAGTACTATCCTGAAATTCATGAGTAAATTTAATTGTGAAAAACAGAGAATTCCCATTAAGGCACACGAAGAAATATGATAAGAATCTAGATTAATCAGACAGAGCTAGACTTCTAGAGAATTACAAGTAATTTGAAATGGGTATTTAAAAGAGACATCATGGGGAGGCAACAAGAGGAGACAGCTTAAATATAGCATTCATATATAGGTTAGATCTACCAGAGAAATTTCTTTCAGTTGGATATTTTAAAAAAAAGAAGGAAATATGTCAATGGAATTCATAACTAAAGTTTGATAATGTGTTTATTAATCTTAAAATATGAGACATTTACTTTACATGAAATTCAACCTATTTTGGTAGAATTAACCCTTTGTACATGAAGAATTCTGTTAAAAGCTCTGAACATCTAACTCACGTCTAACTCATCTAAGTCACAGCTAAAGCTATCCAATCTCTCAATTGAAAATTTGAAGTGATTTTCATTTGTAGAACTTAATACACTTTTGATAAAGATTAAGGTTTGTGTATAGATAAAAATATCAAATTAAATAAAATTGACTGCCCAGAAGATTGAGACATTGAAGGGGAAAAAACCTTTCTTTTGAAGACTTTGCAATTTACACAGTCTTTTGGTCAATGTAATGATTTATTTGAAGATTTGATTAATAAGAAATAAAAATTAAAAAACAAAATTTGAAAAAAATGAAAGAAAGAAAGAAATTAAAAACTGCTGAAAACTGAAACTACACTTATGTTCTTGGTTCCAGGAACTAGAGAAAACAAATATTTTTTATGATTTAATGTTGCATTAAAAATAAAATATATATAGTGCTGGCCTGGTGGCAGAGTGGTTGGGTTTGCACACTCTGCTTCAGTGGCCCAGGGTTCACAGGTTTGAATCCCAGGCATGGACCTACACAATGCTCATCTAGCCATGCTGTGGTGGTGTCCCACGTACAAAATAGAAGAAGACTGGCACAGATGTTAGCTCCTGGACAATTTTCCTCAAGCAAAAAGAGAAAGATTGGCAATGGATGTTAGCTCAGGGCCAATCTTCCTCAACAACAACAACAATAAATAAATACATAAATACATACACTATATAAATTTCTGTTTCCATAATGGCAGAGTAGGCCTGCAATAGTCCATCTCCCCTACTGGTAATAATTAAAAGCTCTAGAAATAACACAAATCAAACAAAAGACGAAAAAGAACAACAAAAACCAACTACTTAAGGCTTCTGTAGAGCAAACAAAATCAGAGAGATTGGGGGAGGGAAATGAAAACTAGTGTCACACTTTTTTTTTTCCTCTCATGGCTTTGTCTAGAGGGCAGGACCTAGTTAAGGAGCTTTAAAGTGATTCTGGAGCTAGAATTTGTCCAGAAGTACAGAGGTACCTTGGAAAGAAGTCAATATAGGTTGAATTGTGTGGGAGTCATCCCAAATAGGAGTAAGAGAAGAAGATGCCATAATTCTCTCTGTAAAACCAGAGAAAGCTCAGCCTAATCCCTGAGCTTTGCATGCACAGGACAGATACAAACCTGCATAGCAAAGGCTTTAAGAAGTCAACTGAGATTTAAATCACTGCTCACAGGAGGAAGCACAGAACTTAGGGGTAATTACCTGCTTAAAAACACTTTTTCCTAGGGCTTCTCATCAAGATGGCAGTGTAAGCAGACTCTGAACTCATCTCCTCCCATGAACACAATCAGATTACAGCTGTTTGTGGAAAAATTACCCCGGATAGAAGGCTGAAAACTGAATAATAGGAACCCCCACAACAAGGGACAGTCCTGACTAAGGCAGAAGAGGCAGAAATTCCTGCTGGAGTGGAAAAAAGCCACCTTTGGGAGCAGAGGAGCTTCTCAGCTGGCCAGGCAGGAGCCACCCTAAGGTATGCAGCCCTCCCTGGAGGAGTGAGGTCCGGAGCGGGGCCAATACAGCCATAACCATCCTTTAGACTCAGCCCAACTGAGACAGGGGTCTAATGGTGTGGATTTGCTGGCTATTAACTACAGGGAGGATACCCCCAGAAAGCTGGAAAGACCTGGGTCTTAAAGGGCCTATGAACAAACTCACTCATTGCAGCAACCTAAAATCACCAGAGAGAAGGCTGACAGTCCTTTGGTGAAATGAAACTCACCTGGTAGGCTCTGGGGGCATCTTGGTGAGAGGATGGACCTCTCTGGAGACTGAGACATTGGTGGGGGCCATCATTCTGAACTGATCCAGGTGTGCTGACACAGACCCCGGTGGGTGGGCATCATTGAGGTTCATCCTTTGGCTTATTATCCCAGGGGTCTGCCACACCCACTTGAACACAGATTTAATCCAGTTCAGCCAGGGCAGGCAACCTGCCCTAGGGACTGGCCCCACCTAACAGCAAGCCCTCAGGCAACTTTTCAGCCTGCATTGACTGGGTGCCTTGATCTCTAGAGGCAGGCAAGGGTGTCTGCCTCTGTGGGGCAGGGCCTGTATGAGGACCAGGTGAACTGTGGGGTCACTGGTGGAGGGGTGGGGGCCTCTGCAGTGCGGCATTGGCGTACACTCCAGGGGGTTGAGAAGTTTGCACAGACCAGGACTGTGTTGATAGTGTGTGTGGTTCTGTGGGGCATGAGGCTTATCAGCGGCAGAAGATCTGTGCTTCACAAATAGCCATAAAAAGGATCAGCCCCACCTTCCAAAGCCTGAAACAATTGAGTGCCCCAGGCCAAGGGCCAGCCCCACTCAGCTGCACTCCTAAGAGAACTGACAACAGCCTTGTAGGCCTGAGGCCTATCACAACTGTACCCTCTGAGCCTAGCAACCAGCTACACTGGGTACCAACCCAATTAAGAGGAAAACTGCAACACAAGTGTGCTGATAGACTCTGTAGCCAATGGTGCTGAGGCTCCCCAAACCGGATTTACCAACAGCTGGCCAGGGAAGGAAAGATCAGACTCCTTGGGTACCTGCAGTGGGAGCAACCCTGCCACAGCAGAAGGACACAAGTAGCCCACAAAGTGGTCACTCCTGGATCTTCTGGACTGGTGACAAGAGGGAAGCACACTGCTGGGCCTCATAAGGCATCTCATACCTAAGGCCACCTCTCCAAGATCAGGAGACATAATTGACTCACCTAATCCATAGAAATAAGAACAGAGAAAGAAGCATAATGAAGAATACTTTACAAGCAAGGGAACAGGACAAAACCCCAGAAAAAGGACTAAAAGAAACAGAAGCAAGTGACCTACTCGACAAAGAGTTCAAACAAAATATCATGAGGATGCTGAGAGATATTGGGAGAAGACTGGATGAGCACAGTGAGCTCATGAGCAAAGAACTGGAAGATATAAAAAGAAAACAATCAGAAAGGAAGAATACAATACTGGAAATGAAAGATTCACTAGAGAGACTCAATAGCAGAGTAGAGGATGCAGAAGAACGGATCAGAGAGCTAGATGAAAGACTAGAGGAAACCACCCAAGCAGCACAGAAAAAAGAAAAAAGAATTAGACAGAATGAGAGAAGTCTAAGGGAACTCTGGGACAATATCAAGCATGCTAACATTCAGATTATAGGTGTCCCAGAAGGAGAAGAGAGACACAAAGGGGCAGAAAATTTATTTGAAGAAATAATAAATGAAAATTTTCCTATTCTGAGGAAGGAAACACACATCCAAGTTCAAGAAGCACAGAGCTCCAAACAAGATAAGCCCACAGAGGCCCACTCCAAGATATATTATAATTAAAATGTCCAAAGTTAAAGATAAAGAGAGAATCCTAGAAGCATACAAAGGGAAGCCCATCAGGCTATCAGCGGACTTCTCAGCTGAGACCCTACAGATGAGAAGAGAATGGCACAACGTATTTAAAGTGCTAAAAGGAAAAAACCTACAGCCAATACTCTATCCGTCAAGGTTGTCATTCAAAATGGAAGGAGAGATAAAGAGCTTCCCAGACAAGCAAAACTTAAAGGAGTTTATCACCAAGAAAGCAGTTCTGCAAGAAATGCTGAAGGGACTTATTTAAGTGGGAAAGCAATGACAACAAATAGAGACCAAAAAAAAATTATCAAGAAAACAAAACAACAACAACGAAAAGCCAAGCAATAAAATCACTTGTAAAGGTAAAAATATAGTCAAGGTAGCAGATCAACTACCTGTGAAGATAATATGGAGGTTAAAAGACAAAAGTACTAAAATCACCTTTTTCAATGATAAGAGGGTAATGGATAGACACACACTAAACAAGAGACTATATGTGATTTGAAAAACATAAAATGTGGGAGGAGGGGAGTGAAAAAGTAGAGCTTTTAGAAAGAGGTCAAGCTAAAGAGTCTATCAATGCGATATAGACTGTTATATACAGAGAATATTAAATAGGATCCTCATGGGAATCACAAATCAGAAACCTATAATCAAGAAAAAAAGTAAGACAAAAGAAATCAAACATATTCCTAAAGATAGCCATCATGTTCACCACGCAAAAACTAATTATAGTCTTTCCGCTCACATGTGAGCCTAATCATCCCTTTTGTCCTCCCACCTTCCGCTTTGGTAACCACCAATCCAATCTCCAATACTATGTGTTTGTTTGTTTGCTGGCGTGCTTTATTCTGACCATTTACTCCAGAAAAAATTAAACAGACTGACCAATATTTAAACCTTTAAAGCAAAGGAGGAAACCATCTGTGTGATCAAAAGCAACTTTGTACTCTGTTAGCAACCAGTCCTAGAAAAATAGAGTATCTTAAGTGCTTCTTTTGTATTAAAGTATTCATGTTATTACAACATCACAAGAGCAAATAATTCCTACTGCAATATACAATCATTTGTTTATCTCATTATGGTCTACCTAGAGGAAATCAATGATAACTAAAAATCTGATGTCACTATATATCAGCATTTCACATTATCTTGATATTTTTCTCCATGCATCACTTTGAAATTTGAATTCATGTTGAGGTTTGAGTTAAATCTCTGTAGATCTTAGCATCCTAACAAAGCAGGAGCTGTGTTTTATTCATCTTTTTTGTGTCCACAATCACTCAGCACAGATCCTGAATCTTAAGAGTTTAATGAAGACACCCTGGGTTTGGCCTATATGGTTTTTTAAATGCTTTTCTATGAGATTTTAAAATATAGACATATAAAAATTATGGATCTTAGTTTAACTTTTTATTTATTTCATACTGAAACACCTATGTAGGCATGTGTGGAGGATAATTCAGAAGTTCTAGGATGCATTTGGTGGATGTGGCTATGCTTGAGTAAAAGGATTTTAAATAGTTGAGTATGAGAAAGTCCCAAGAGTGTCTTCCTTCAACCTCTTATTTTATATATATGGAAATGGAACTTCAAGAGATGCAGGTCACCCAACTCATTCGCAGCAATCCCAGCACTAGCATTTTAGTGCCATACTGCCCTGGAGGAGCCAGTCTGCCTTCTGGGTTTTGGAAATACCAACAATGTTCATTTCTCATGAATTCCTCTCTTCTGAGTACTTATGACAGAGATTTAGTTATAATCCTATGATATGTCAAATACATTTTTAAATATTTACAAAATGCAAAGGAAACAGCACCAAATATTAAGTTTCTTTAAGAGAAGATGATGGCTAGCACTTTTTTAGGACAGTGGGATGAGGCTGGGCTATTCTACAGACTTCTGTTTTAAACTGGGCAATTCTAATATATGTCATATCTTGGCACCCTTAAATTTTTATTCATGTAGATCCATGTTGAAGAAAAGGAAAAAAATTATAAAGTAAATTTGAGTTTAAAATATCTATTTTGAATTACCAAATACAAGCAACGAAAGTTAGAGAAATGTTTATAATTTGCTACTAATGCTGTTGACCTGAAAAAGAAATATATATATGACGACAGTAAAATAGCAGAAAACAGTATTAGGGAAGAAACCTCAACATGTTAAATAAGTTATTAGCATCACTTCCTTCTCTGTGTGTCCTGAATAATATCAAGGTTTTTTGTATGTCTGTGAGTTTTTTAAGGTGTGTTATGGTAACAAAATGACTTTCTTGGAAGCTGCCTGATTTTAGCAAATAAAATCAGTAATTTGTGATAGAATTAAAGTGACTTCTATATTGAATTATCTTTCATAATCCCTTCTTTTAGAATTGTTTAATTGGTCTTTCCATGAATTTCTTGGCAAGCACGGTTTATGAATATGTAAAATAATATGGATTATTTGTTTCTCTTCTTGAGAAAATATTTGCTTTCTAAAGGCTTTCTTAATAAGAAAACGCATCTTGCTTCACAGTTACGATCACATTCTATGAATATTAATGTACTAGAAATTTTCCAGTGGAAACAATTTGTCAGTAAGAGTATCTTACACATTCCCACTAAGACACCTATGTCCCTTTAAGCATCCGAGAGTTTCTAACATTGATAATTCCTGAACATTCATTGAGAGTACTGGTAAACTTCTTCCTTTTTGTATGAACACGTCTACCAGATTATCCTAAAATGCAATGATTTATGATGGATTGCGCATGTTCCATTTCCATTAGCTCTCAAACTTCCAAAACTCACATAGTTATGAATGTCTTTATATTTATTTAACAACTCTCCTTGTCATAGTCCCCACTTCTAGGCAATAAACACCATTTGGATAAAATATAAGTGCTGACATATTCCACTGTTTTTCAAATATTATATCCTATCTTATGAGGATTAAAATAATTCAACAGAACAGCTTGAATAAGAAATGAAAACTCTCACTATATATATGAGACACAGGACCATTAATATTACAAAGAAACACAGAAAAATCTAAGGAAATGTTGACCAATTACCAGTAACTAATATAGTTCAGTTGATATTGTGGTTTTGGTTTAAATGTTGCACAAAACGGCCACAATTTTCAGGATAAGCAACATCAAGACCATTAAACATGTAGCCCTGTGAAAAGACCCATAAGATCCACTAGACGTCTCGAAAACTGACTTTGAATGGCTTCATTCATTCTGAATCTGAGCATTAAATACCAAAACATGAATTACATATGTATTGTGACGTTCCTACAGAAATTCATATTGTTCAAAGCAGGAAAAGTGCTGTTAATAAACATACAAAATGAAAGTAACTTACATTCAATATCAAGGAACATGCTCTTTTGGTGCCCTCCAATTCTACTCGCAGCTTCACAGTCATATCTCCCTGAATCTGACAACTTCACGTCTGTAATATGCAGCGATGAGCTTCCATGCTGCCCTTTGACTTCGATACGGCCGTCTGGGCTCTGTTTACATCGATTCAGGAAAAAGAAAGATTTTATGCTTCTTTTGTGTAAAATGATGTCCAATCAGATGGTGTTTAACACATATACAGTAAATGAAAATAAAATCATGCCTGCATTAACTTTTTTGTTCAAAACTGCAGTGTTTCTGGATTTATGATTTACTGTTTTTGGCTCATCTATTTGACCTGCCCACTTGCTTACAGGGACACTGACATGCAGTAAAAACTTAAACACATGTTTGCTCAGCTTCTTTTATTTGGTATGCTCTTGGCTTTTAAAACCAGGAAGGGTTTTGCGGGCTTCCAATTATGTTCCTTGCAAACATAACAAATCAACAATAAGACCTATTCATTTCTGGCTACAACCTACCAATGAAAATGATACTCCTGAGTTTCCTATTTCACCCCGTAAGGAAAATGTATCAATATTTATGACAATTAAAGCCTTTAAAAGGAATTTATAGTTTTCATTTTTGAATGAAGGCAACAACACTGCTCACACGCATAATTGGCACCACACGCATCATAGATAAATTATTAAAAACATAGCACTCCCTAATTCATTCTTAAGAAGTCAGTGGAAACAATATGGAGATAATTAATCACTTACTCTATGAATATTGACTCAAGTCCAGGAATTGCTTATAATCCAATAGTCTATAGATTATATTTCAAATAAGAATTCTTGCGTGAAACATAATTAGCATACATAGAATTGTTTTCTTAAATCACTTAAATACCTTTATACCACACATATTAAAACAGACATAGTTTACTCCTTGAATTTTACTTTCTACAAGGAGGAAAATATAGTCAACCTTCAGCATTTTATAACTCATTTGAAACGTGCACTTTAGTATTATTGAATTGATTCTTCTCAATATTTGAGATTTTAGTGTCTCAATGAAATATTGAATGCTATACATTTGTTTGGAAATATATTATTATGTAACAATATAATGGTTGTTTAATTTTTACATGACTAAAGTTCAAATATATTCCAATACATGAGTGTACTTTGTATTATTAAAACTTGGTGTTTAATGATTTTCCTTTATTAATATCAAAAGACTATTTTAAAGCGTTTTGGCAAACATGAAGTTGATTGGGACACAATATAATTACTTTTTTGCTTTTTAATTTTATATAGACATGTAATTATTATATAAACATATCAGTCACTCATAATTTATTTACTGTTAGAAAAATGGTCTTCAAAAACAAAGAGACAAACAAAAATGTACTAGGGACATGCTATACAACTTAGATCAGGATTTCTAGGCCAAACACATGTTCCCCAATTCCCACATATTGCTAAAAGAAAATAGTAAAATGGGGTTTCTAGCAGAAGGACATTCTCTTCTGCCAACTTTTAAGATGTTTAGCTGACAAACCCATTTAGTTAATTTAGAGAATAGGGAAAAAAATGCAAGAATCACAGAAGTTAAAATCAGAATGAGTAAACCCAAAGGGAAAATGGTTGATCTGTTATACAGGTAACTAACCACATTTCAATAACATGGGTATTCTTTGGTCCTTACCTCACTGGACCTCTATTCATCACTGGACCTTGTTGAACTATCCTTCCTTCTTTATGCACTGACTTCTCTTGGCCTTCCAGACACCCCTACTCTTCTGCTTTTTCTCTGTTTCACCTCTCTGACTACTCTTTGGTCTCAGTTGCAGTCTTCTCTCTCCCTGGAGGCCCCTGTATTCTGTCCTGGACTCTGGTCTCTTTTCAGCTAATATTCTTCACTTAGTCACTCTCAGCCCTGCCCACATCTACACTGATGATGTTTAGTCACTTTCTCCAGCCAGGATCTCTCTTCCCCTGGAGCCTCAGAACCAGATATTTCACTTGCAGGGCATGTCCATTTGATATGTACCTCAATGCAGCAAGTGCAGATCTGAATGCATTGCCCCCTCACTCAGCATCACCTGCTCTTCCCCCATGGGCTTTCTTTCCATGAATGACACTAATTCTTTTCATGCCCCATGCTATACCCGTCATCAGTCTTGGGTGAGTTTCTGAATCTTTATTTACCTATTTATATTCCAAATGATGAGAAATCTCAGTTTATCATCTTGCTCTACATTATCATTTCCAATTTCCAGCAAGTGTGTTTCTACAGACCTATCTGCTCTCTGCCTCTCCTACATACAGTCATAGTGTGCTGCTGAGTCGGAAGGATATTGACAGGCATCTCTGGATTTCAGAGAGAACAATCACACTCAGGCTGACTGTGACCAAAAAAGACTCCCTGACTCGGCAAAAGCCATCAACATTATGTTTCCTATGTTTCTCTAGCAAAAAATCATTCCAGCTGCAGAAATTATTTCTTGTGTAGCTAAGAATAAGTTTTTTAAAAAGGCAAACTTTTAATTCTCATAACAACTTTATGAAGGGTTCACATCCCCCTTGCTCTATAATCGTAACATCCTATTGCCTCCCAAATAAAACCGCTGTCCCTCAGCCTGAAGTTTAAGGACTTCCATAAGGCGTCACCTTTCTTTATAAGCACACTTTACAACTTATATACCATTAATTAGGATTTCAATTAATTTGAATGACTTGTGCTGTCATGAACACCCTGTACTTTCCTTAAGCATCCTTTACAGACCTGTCTCAAATCTTTCTCCTTTTATCTCTTCCATATTTCGATGGCAAGACTCTACCATCATTCTTTTAAATTTTGGCCAAAATATCAATGCATATTCAAAACAGTTCCTGACTGACTATGTTGTATAATTATTATATATGTATAAATTATTTATAATTACTAATTCTTTGAATTCTGTGCTTTTCTTGGGACACATTGCTTTTTCTAGTCTTCTTGGAACTTTAGAATTTGTCCTATAGGGTGATACTGTAGTTGACCAAATGTGAGAACATTTTTATGGTATTTCATATGAAAGTCACCTGGACTAGTACCTACGACAGAACCATTATATTCTAATATTATTATAAAGCAAATTAAGTAATAGTGAAATTTACATGCAGTTGAGCAAAGGAAATGTAATTCTTCAGCTATTATTTACTATGGGTTAAAAACTTGCATTGAATATCTTTATTAGAATGTGACAAGATACCTTATTAACGACGCAAAGCAAATTCTTCATTTTTCCATTCAGAAAAAATATTATTCTTTCACAATTTTGAAAGGCGTATTTACCTCCCTTAAAAACTAAACAGGTCCTCTTGTGAATACCTGTTGTAAATGATAAGGTTTTTGATTTGTGAAAAACTATTGATATATATAAAATTAGCATGTTATTAGTAAAAATGTTGGTATTTAGAAGTTATTATCAATGTATCTTATATTATTAACAGAAATTCTGGAAGAATAGAATTTCTCTGGGAAGGTGTGTGATTCCCTGGGAAATTACAAGCCAGTTGCAGACTTGGCATTGGTTCTGTAATAATGCGCGCTATGCATTTATCTCAAATACTTACAGTAGAAGACCAGTCATTCTTTCTCATATCTGACATTCCAAAGGACAGCTCTCTTTGTGCTACCAAAACACATTACACATTTCTGAAAGAAAATTCATTTATATCTTGGCTTTGATTCACCACATACTGAAGATTCATTTAAGACATCTGATACTTGATTGAGACAGGTTAATGGGCATATTAGCTGTCCATCTAGTATTTTCATGTTCTCTCATTGCATTAAGTAAGATGTTAAGAAAGTAAAGTGTCTGACTACGTTATTATTCCAATTCTTTGCAGAAAGGCACTCTCTGAAATTTTATTTGATGTTATATCCTTTGCTTTTTCAGAAGGTCAGTTTAAGAACTGCTTATTTAAATAGTATTTTGATATTTTTATAAAATTATTTATAGTTTACTGTCCTTTCAATAATCCCTTCATCAAATATCTATGCGATAACTATCTTCTTGAATTTAATTTCAACATAGATGTTTTTGTCAATTTTAATTGTTGGACACTTAAAATTATATAATGTATCATGTCTATAGGTTATTTTCGTGACCTTATCTGACTAGACATTTATTGCTAAATTTAGACTGCAGTACACAACACCTCTGAGGTGGCCAGTATTCCCTATCATGCTTCTTCCTTATATTCATGTTTGGAACCTTTTGAAGTCATTGACCTCTTCAGCCTTTTGAGAGAATCGTGGATCATGTCACTTAGTTCCTAAGCAGTTGTTTTCTGTGCAATTATTCTATAATATGCATCCAGGCACTAAGTATACATTCTGTGCAAAATAGAATAATTTCTATCCTTAGTCAAATTAAAGTTGGACAAAGAAGACTGATGTAAGTTTTTAAACATAATACAAATAAACTGAAAGGTACCATGTAGGAACATCATAGCTTCATTTGGGAGGTGAGTCAATGGGGGGGGGGGTAGTCAGAGGTATGTTCCTGGATAAAACAAAATATGAATTGAAATCTGAAAATGGTGAAAGGGGGGTGGTGTTTGTAGAGAGAATTCCAGTCCTATGTCACCAGAAGGCACATGAAAGAACTGAGAGAAGTCAGTAGGTGCATAGAAGAGAGGGCACGTGAGATCTTCCAATGTTGGGTAGGTAAAGAGATAGTGCACGCAGAACCCAAGGCAAATGCAGACACATAAAAAATTTGCATTTCACCATTACGTATTCTGTTTGCTTTACTTGTAATGAGATTAAATCTGCACTGAATGTAAATTAAACTCAACTTCAAATACTTAAAGGTAGCATGAAGGCGTAACTGATAAATACGTAAACAAGAAAACAGATGCTCTCCAAAGGTTATTGGAGTTAATTTACCCAAACTTCTCAATACTGTGTTAATATTGTGTTAAGTGTATTTGTTGATTGTTAATTCCTGCAAAGCATATTAAACAGAAAGGTTCTTGTCTCTCTTTATAAGATTCATATATTTACTCTTAGCATTAATTTCTCTTTCCTCTGGGCTTGATTCCAGCCTCCTAATTTTCTTCCTATTTTGATTTCATGAACTGAACTTTTGTACAATTACCCTTCCTCCTAG